TTTATTTTAATAAATATATAACAACATTTGTTTATCAAAATATTTAAATAAAATCATAAATTAAGAATTCAATATACAAAATTATTTGTATTTTTATTTTTATAATATTATTTATTTCAATAATTAATATATTTTTGATCCTTTACAATTTTTTTACTTTGTACTTTACACACATACTTTCACTTACTAATATATGTTTTGAAGTGAAGCATAGCAATTTAAAATTAAAAATATATATATATGTATAAAAATGAATTTGTGTCCACAAAATCAATTAATAACTATAAATTACAAATAAGTGGTGGTAGTAGCGGTGATGATTTGGGTTAACAAGGTATTAATAATGCATTTGGCCTTAGGCTAAATGCCTTAATGGCCAAACTATTTTTGGGAATAAGTAACAAATGTTACTACCACTTTGTCTTAAAAAAAGGTTGCACCTTTTCACGTGGTCTTCAATCATATAAATTTATTTTCCAAATATATTAGTATCAGTCAATTGTATTATTATCGTCGTTCGTAGTCAAGTCATGTTGATGTAAGGATATTATACTAAATAGGTAAATTTAAACCCAACCCATTTAATAATTGTGTCAAGAATCATCAACACTAACCTAACCCACCTGTTTAAATCTATTTATCAAAACGAGACATTTAATATTTAATCAAATACTAAATAATAATAAAAAATTGTCATAATTAATTCAAATATTCAAAATAAAAAGAAAAATCATGAGGCATAGATAAGATTTATGTTGAAATGACTTAACTATCTATAGTAATTGGGTTTAAACAGGTAACATATTATGTAAGTCATGTTTACGATTATAACATGTTGAGTTAAAGGGGTTATAAACGGATTACATGGATTGAACCGTACAACCCTAACCCGACACGGTTAAGTAAACGAATTAATCGTGTCGTCCCTTTTATGATATAAACATGTTTATGTTAAATTCAAACATTTTTAACTTATATCGTGTCGAAATTTATCACCCTTACATTGAGGTCATAATTTGATGTTCAAAAAAAAAAAAAAAAAAAAAAAAAATACCTTCTCATGCTTACTCCCATCATTGGAATCATCACAGTCACGAGAAGATATTTCTAAAAATGTATTGTTTTCAAAAAGGTCTGTTATGAGTTTTGTATTCAGAAAGTACATAATTGCATGCGCATATATAATATAATACAATACACCACGAAATTAATTAAAGATGCAAATGACAGACAAGATAAGAATGATTCAAATCATATGGGCCTGCTCTGATTTTTCATTATTTCAAAACTTCTTTACTCGTTTTAGGGCATAGTAACCTTGGTTTGCAGTAACACATGAAGTCCGATAAAATTAATATAAATTAATTGATTATATAAAAAAAATCAAAAACACATAAGTACACACAAATTTTAATTAATTTATTTAAAATTAAGATCAAGTTAAGGGTTATAGAAATTTTTACTATAACGATAAAAAATAATAATAAATGTAAAAAGTTTAAAATGAATAAATACATTCACATTAGAATAACATAATAAATATTAAAATTATTAAAATACTCTTCAAAACATTCAAATTAAATACACAGAATTAAAACTGGATACATACGATACTATACTGATAACAATAATTTAAACGAGGATGCTCATTTCTTCATTTTGAACCAACATCTTCACTTTTTTTTTAGGATAAAGTGCAATAAACCCCCCTAAATTTTACTCTCTCTCTCAAGAAACCCCCCTAAACTAAGTAGAGTCCCCTAAACTATTTAAATTGTGCAATTTGAGGACAAAATCCAAATTTGACAGTACCGGCTCACTGAAAATAGTAGATTACGAAATTGCCCTTATCATTTTAGCGCCAAACACCACCTTACCATACACAATTTTGTGCCAAATACCAACCAACCAGACCATAACCAATCAACTCTAAAAACTCCATCACACAAACTAAACCTCCTTCAGCCATTGAGCTCATCGTATTGACGATAAGAAAAACCAAAATTAAAACACATCTTTATAATCTTATAACCAACGCATCACATCTTATCATCTTCATCTCACCATTATTGGACCCGTTTGTAACATTGTTTCCTGCTCGTAACAGAAACATCGTTGCAATGCAACAGTAGCTTCATTGCTTCATCTCTATACTTGGTGCTAAAAAGATGCGGGGGAGAGGGGTTTCAACAAGTGATTGAATGCTGCGCCAAGTGTTTCAACTTTGCTTATGCCGAGCGCCCTCAGTTACTTAAGCCCTATCCAGAATGGATAAATGGTGCACCACTGCCAAGCTTCATTATATAAGGAATGTTACCAAGACAAGCAGAAATTAATATTATCTCTAAGGCGTACACTTTCCGCTCATAGCGAAGCCGGGCACTTACAGTTTTCTTTTGAAAAAATAAAAATGATTAAGTCTTCAACCCTGGTCTACAACTGGGTTTTCTTTAGATATGAGATTGAAGATCCCAAATGGCCCTCAGTGGACACATAAATTAACAATGGGGAAATTTGTGGGCCGATATTGTCTCAGGGTTTAAGCAATTGCAGCTTTGTTATTTTGCATGCTCACAAAAAAGATGAAATTGTGACAAAATTATTGATGAATGACTTGAACCAAACAACTAGTGCCATTAATTGGTTTATTTGTTATTTACTCCTCCATTGATGCCAAATAATTACTCTTCCACATCAGCCCTCCAATAAGAATCATATAGCATCAACGGCATGATAACGGTGACTACCCATGGCCGGAACAGAATTGAAGACCCATCAGTAGCCGGAACTCCTTCATTAAATCAGACCAGCAAAAACCAACGAGACCTATCATCAGGACCAGGAAGCGTGTTCATCGTGAATATCAGTGAGAGCTACAACTTCATTCATCAACGTGAACAAGTCCGGCCAACTTCACCTTCGTAGACCCACGAACTCCAGCGAATTTGCAGAGACAGAACTCCGGCGACAATGGCAGAACGGTGAAAGTCTCTCTTTCCAGCAACAACACCGGTGAGAAACTTGAGCTCTTGAAGGCTAACTGCAGTAACAAAATCAGTGAGACGCCGAGACCCAATTGCAGCAACAGTTCCGGAGATTCCTATGAATAGAGATAGAGCTTCAACAAACTAACAGAAAATGTTGTAATCAACACTTAGCTTCATCTCAACAACATAGATTCAACAAACCTTCGATTTGGTTTGTGAAACAAATAAAATTGACCCCTTCGTTTTCTTATGTAAATCACAGAAGGTTGCAGAGCATAGAGAAAGATTGTGATTTCCATTAGGGTTGATGGTTCGATTGGGCACAATTGGGTGTTTTATTGTGTTGTCATCAACACAGTAATAGTAAGGGTAGAATTGTCATTTTAATTTATCGGTATTACTTTACTGCCAAATACTGACCGGAATGGTGTCATTTGATTTTTTTTTTGGCAAAAATCTGAATAGTTTAGGAAGTTTTCTTTAAAAAATGGGTAAAGTGCAAAAAAAAAAAAATCCTGATCTATCAACTAATTGTACAAAACCCCCCTTATATTAACAACTGCCTCCTTGAACTAGGCAAAAAAGTGCATTTAAGGACAAAATGTGATGTTTCCATTAAGTACACAGTAAATTACCAAATTATCCTTAACAGAAGGAGACCATTTTATTGTTTCTTTACCTTCAGTTGCTGACGTGTCGTCCACAATCCTAATATCCAATGAAAATCAGACAGCGCATCAAACCTTATCACAATATCACTATCTTTCTTTTGTTATCCCGTTTTAGGGCCTAACACCATCAAGACTTGTGCCAGAAATCACTCTAACTCACCCACTGCAAGTTCTAAATCACTCATTGCAAGATGACAACTCTTGGAGGGTATGGCGTTGATGTGGTCCGAGATTAGGAATAGAGACTTTATGGTGCAAAGGGCTTTTTACTAATTTAGCTGGAGGTCTCTGCCGACGGTGAAAGAATCGGCGGTGGAGTGTTTGAGATTAGAGCGCAACCTACAACTTTGGCACCGACAAGCAACTGAAGAAACTGAGAGGAAATTGTAAGGTTACACTATCAAAATATCAAAATGGGTTCCAATTTAAATAGGTTATATATCGGGGTTGATTGAATTTGGTGCGCGGTAGGTCTCTCCATTGACGATGATGTTGGGGTTGATTGACAACGTCTCTTTCCATTGACGGATGCTACAATCGTGAGATAAACCAAAGATTGCAGAAGAGGACTTGGGTCTTGAGTATGGGGGTTGATTGGATTGGTGCGTGTCTTTCTCCATTAATGGTGATATAGAGGAAGAACAAGTAAGATGAAAAATATGATGAGGCTGATGAATGAGAGAGAGAGTCCAGTAGTTAAATAATTGATTTTCTCACAAATTCGAACGTCTTATATACGTTCATATATATGTGTGTAAATCGATTGCAGATCACAACAATTGAGAACGAATCGATTACAGAGAATGGAGCTGATTTTTTTTTTTTTTTTTTTTTTTTTTTTTTTTTTTTTTTTTTTGAAAAGATACCCTTATTGCTGCAGAAGCGACGGAGTGTGTCGCCGGAGAATGGACACATGGCGAGGTGAGATTGGCTGAGGAGGAGGAGGAGGTGGTGTTCGGCGAGAGGCAGTTCATCGTCTCTGTCCATTGATTTGGGGTTAAAAAATTAATTTATTAATTTTATTGTACTAAGGGTATCTTTGTCATTTTTAATTTTTGCTAGGTCACAGACCAATTCAGGTGGACAAACTAACGGAATATTGATGGTTGGGGGATTTTTACAAAAATTGTCATAGGTCAGGGGGTTTACTTAAAAAATAGAAATTTAGGGGGATTTCTTGGGAGAGGAGTAAAAATCAGGAGATTTTTTTGCTTTTTATTCTTAATGAAAAAATAGTAAGGGAGAATTTTTTGGAAGAAAGAGTAAAGTTTAATGGGGTTTAAAATGACAATATAAAATGATGTCGTCTACATATCTATTGATGTGACTAGACAACAAATGGACAGTCGGAAATGGACCACTGCATTAAATTATTACGGAATCACCTAAGAAATAAATGAGCTGGTTGGTGCCGTCCGAATTCGGCTCGGCTCATCTCTGCTGGTCCTTGTAATTATGCTTCCAATATTTTCCTCTCTATATAAACCAAGACAAACCTGTTCATATCCAATTCAATATTGGAACCTCCTCACTAGTGCCAATGTTCTCCTATTGATCATCTTTCTTTCTGCTACTTCTTTTCAATTCAATCTCGGGTTAGGGTCTTCAATTAGAGAGTTTAATTCTGTGGCTTCAATGGAACATGTGGTGTCGGACTTGGGGTTCGGGGAATTAGGGTTTCGGTAATTGCAGTTTTCGGTTTTGATGTTTTTGGACTGACGACGATAATGGCGGCGAATCCACAGCCACTTCAGGCTGGTCTGTACGAGGAGCGCGTGGCGATACAGATCATCGACGGCGACGGCGGTGGTGATGAGTTCGGTAAACGCTTCGGACTACGGAGGAGGTGTTGAGGTGGCGTCTGGGACCAGTGAGCTCACTCTTGCTTTCGAAGGAGAGGTTTATGTGTTCCCTGCTGTTACGCCCGAGAAGGTGCGGCTTTTACTTTGTTTTGATGGTCTTGTGGTTCAATAATTTGATAAATTTGATTGTCTTGGGCTTCAATAGTTTGATAAATTTGATTGTATCAGTATTGGAGAAGTCAATTTTATGGAGCTTTTGTTTGATGAAAGAGTTCAGTTCTCTATTATGAAGTTAATGAATTCTTATGGGTTTGTCATAATTTGCTCTGTTTTTGACGGTTTTTTATGGTGGTTTTGTTATCAATTTACTTTGATATCAATCTAATGACGTGGGTATCTTATAATTCATATTTAGATGTCTTTCTTTCTTTTTTCTTTTCTGGGTATGTGGCATTTATATCTATTATTTATTTGGTTAACTATTCATTTATTTTCTGCATACATCTCTTGTTTTTTTTCACTTATTTATTGTTTTCTGATAATGTATTATTCTACTAGGATGCACCATAAGAATGGTCAGTTTGCATCATTGAAAGGAGGTTCGGGGTCTTCTGGTTCGGATTATTATGCAAAGAGTTGCCTTCAAGGAGATGGCACACCTTGTCAAGAAATTGTGTGAGTTCCATCTTGATTTTGAGGTTGCTGCTTTCTGGTTGGGACTATGGCCGGCTTCAAATTAGTGTGGCCGGAGCTTCAATGACGATGGAATGACCAAAGTGCCCAAAAGATGGAAGGAGGTCGAGATTTCAATTCTTCGTTATGCAACTCCAAGCTCATTGGAGTTGGATACTTCAACAAGGGGGTCATGGCAGCAAATCCCATGGGTCTTGACCGTCGTTCTTTTGCCAGGACTGTGACTCTTGGTAATGGGCTAACCATCACTGGATGGACCATTTTTCCTGCAAGGGCCTTGGTTGATGATCTTCCTCTCATTTTGTTCGCGCGATTTTTGTTCCCTACGTCGGTCGATGGACTCTTTGCGGGCGTGCCAGAGTATTTGTACAAAATACCCAAAATATGTAATTGAACACCAGCCTATCCCTTTTTTCGATGGCTGACTCTCAGGCGATTGTGTGGGAGAGAGACTAGTAAGAACTCCCAGCAAGGTTCTTTTATGCCTTGTTTGTAGCAAGGACTTCTTAGAGTGTCTAAAGAAATGTAACGGCTGATGAATGTTTGAATGGATGGAATGGCCGAGTGAAGACAGGCGACAAGAACTTAATCGATCGCCGGCCGAACGTGATAGCGAGAACTTAATCAATCGCCATCAGCCAAACACAATGGCAAGAATTTAATCGATCGCCACTGAAACGTGATAGCAAGAATTTAATCAATTGCCATCAGCCAAGTAATGACAAGAATTTAATCAATTGTCACTACGATTCAATGGCAAGAATTTAATCAATTGCCATTGAATTAAAAGCCTAACTAAAATTGCGTAATTAAAATTGGCATAATTGAAATTGAAAGAAAGTAAATGGCTGAATTGAAATAGTTGACAATGATCTAATCAATTGCCATTAAATTGAAATAAAGAAATTGATAGGAAAAAAATGACGTAGAGTCAATTGAAAACATTTTTAGTTGAAATGCTTGTTTTGTGGTGGTGCTGGACGGATTAGAATGGAATACAATACTTCTATTTATAGAAGTTCTATCTCAACTTATTTTCCTAATTAATTGCTAGAAAATCTCTTTGCTCCTTGATTTTCTTCACTTTATTACTCAAACTAAACCACGTTCCAGTAGTCTTTTGCGTCTCTTCTCTTCTTGCTTCAATAGGAAAGTCCTTGCTGAAATCTCTCCTTGATCTAGTCAAATGCAAGTTGTCGAATTGTTGTTGAAAAGTTGCTAAAGAAGTTGCTGGAAAGTTGCTAATTTTTAGCAACTTCTTTCCTTATACTTGGTCACCGTTTCTTCCCTTAAATTGCCCAAAAGCCATTTATCGCTTTTATATTCATGACGCGGCTGCCTTTTGTATTTTTCCTTGTTCCATCCAACTAGAATTCCTATAAAATAGGAATTCAGTTGTCTGATTTCCTTAAAACTTTAGTCTTTCCTTTCCTGTTGATAACCCAACTTGAATAAAGTCAAATGTTTGTTGCTATATTTTAGCAACTGCCTTGTTAATTAAGTGGCTGAATAACTTTCTCCAATACTTGCTCCTGATATTTCTTAACTGGCTGATTCCCTTGACGCCATGTTAAAAATACTTATCAGCTTTTCATTGGTCCACGTCATCGCTGAGATGGCTGCCAAGTTTTGTTGCCAACAAATGCCCCCCAAATTTCAAATGTCTTATCGGCCACTCAGGCCGATAAGATTTTTGGAATTTTAAAATGTATTGAAAAGAAACTAGCAGCTTACGAGTTTCTAAACTTTTTTTCTTTCGGGCCACCTCAAGTTGGTCTTTATTTTGCGTCAGCCAGAACTGGCCGATCCTGGTTCTTTTATTATTCCCTTAAAGCTGGCTGATACCCCTCAAAATTTTGGTTATTTATAAACCCATGATAGACCTCACCATTGAAGTTTCCCAACTCTACTAGTAAGGCATGATCGTGATCGGCCGGGATCAAACAGTTATGTAATGTCATTTGGGCCGATCTAACTGGCTTTTGTTTTGAAATAACAAAATTCTGCCAGTATGGAGCTTTTCTGATGGCTGATCCTCTTGAATTTTTATACTCCCATGGAGCTTCTGAAAGTACGCCATCCCATGTTTTTGAATAGTCATTTTCTTTGATGACTTCAGCTATATCAGCCAAAAATACCAAGAATAGTATTTCTTTTGTGGTCGATTTTTATCTGCCGGGGTAAGCTTTTAGAATGCCAGCGGCTATGGCCTGTCTCGTCCTTGATTTTTTATTTGGCACCTCAACAGCTGGCCGATGAAACATTATTTTCAGCCAAAATACCTTTCTGACTAACCTTTTAGAGTTAATATCAGCTAGACTTCTTTTCATTATGGCCGATATTGGTCGCCCCATTTTATTTTTTTCATGTAGCACTGCATCGGCCATGCAAAATTTTGCATTAATTGGCCGATTCATTTTCTTCCGCGAATTTCTTCTCCATTTAACCCTTTTTAGTTTCCATCCCCGCTTTCTTTTCTTGAAATTCGGTTGAGAACGATAGGCTAAAAGAATTCTCTTAGCCAATGATGATTCTGGCTGAGGATTAGATACCACTCTCGGCCAAGTACTCTGGTAATCTAGCCGATTTAATTCTGAAATTCTTTTACCTTTCTCGTATTGTATGAGAGCCTTGACATTCGGAATGGCTGATGGTGTACTCTCGGTAACCTTAGGCTGATTCCCTTCATCAACCTTCCTTTTGGGAGCCTGGCCGATCACATTACTATCTGGTATGAAAATATCGTTGTCGACCTCCATGACTTCTTCATCTGCTCCGTTTTTGGCAGATATGGTAGATGTTTGAGTGTCGGATGTGGCTGATTTTGGCTTTTTGTACATTGGTCGACCTATTCGCTTAAGGCCATTATCATATTCTTGCTTAATAGGATCAACCAACTGAACCTTATCGACCGTCATTGGCTGATTAAGATAATCAATGACCGGTCGATCTTAATTTACCACCAGCGGCTGATTATAATTCGGCCAACCTTCTGGCTGATTATAATTCAGCCAGCCTTCTGGCTTATCTTTGATCATTTTTTCAATGATCTCTATTAAAATTTTGTTTGAAGATTCGTCCTGGCCATTTGCTTGAGCATAGTATGGCGTAGAGGCTGATATATGAATATTCATGTTGTGGCCGAATTGTAGTACATCAGTTGCCCTAAATACTGTTGCATTGTCTGAAACAAGTGTTTCTGGAATCCCAAATCTGTGGATGATGTTTTGTTCCATGAAATTAATCACTGTTTGCTGATCAACCGCTTTGCAAGCCTTGGCCTCAACCCATTTAGTAAAATAATCTGTGGCAACAATCACCCAGTGATGGCCTTCGCTTGATGGTGGATTAATTTTACCAATAAGGTCAAGGCCCCAACCTCTGAATGGCCAAAGTTTGATTATTGGCTGTAATTCTTTTGCTGGTACATTCTGAATCGGCCCGTGTCTTTGACAAGCTTGACAACCTTTTGAGTAATCTATGCAATCTTTTCTCATTCTCGGCCAATAATATCCATACCTGCGAATCAGCCATCTCATTTTAATCCCAGCTTGGTGAGCCCCACAACTGCCCTCATGTACCTCGGCCATAACCTGAAGTGATTCCTCCTTGCTTATGCATCGTAGTAGGAGCCCATCTTCTAACCCTTTTCTGTATAGATCCCCATCTAGAAGCACAAAGTTGATCGCTTTTCTTTTAATACTCCTATCAGCCTTGATGTTTGGATTTCGAAGAAACATTATAAATGGTATCCTCCAGTCATCGTCGGCCAAATCTTCTACATCAATTGTCCAAGTATCAAACATAGTATTTCTCAATTCGGCCGATGGCAAAGATCTTCGTGTTATCTTTATCAACTGATCTTCTATTCCGGCTGGTACTCTTATTCCAGAGGCTGCTTGAGCCATGCTGTTGGCCTCCTTATTCTGCCCTCTCGGCCAGAACTTAAGTTGAACATTATCAAATTGATTAATTAATGAAGTGGCCAGAGAATGAAACGGCCTTAATTGCCAACTTAGGCACTTAAAATCTTCAGAAATTTGGCTAAGGACTAAGTTTGAATCTCCCAAAATCTTTACATCTTTAACAGCCATTTCAATTAAAATCTCCAGGCCGATTATAAGTGCTTCATATTCGGCCTGATTATTTGAACATTTAAAATCTAAAAAGAAAGAGAATGAAACCTTTCTACCAGCTGGCGAAATAATAACAATACCTGCTCCTGCTCCATCAGCCGTGCTTGATCCATCAAACATCAAGATCCAAGGAGTTAAGAATATAGCTGATGACTCCAATTCATCGTAAACCCATGGATCAATATCAGTTGAAGGATGATCGGCCAAAAAATCAGCCAGACCCTTCCTTTTACTGATTTTTGTGAGACGTAGATAAAATTGAATTCCATCAAAGCCAAAACCCACTTACCTATTCGGCCAGTGATCAATGGCCTTGATAGCATATACTTGATTACGTTAGTCTGACAAAGAATGTAAACATCAACAGGCCGCATGTATACTCTCAACTTCATGGCCGAATAGTACAAAGATAAACAAAGCTTCTCAATTGAGGAATATCTGCATTCTACATCAGTTAGTACTCTACTCAGGTAGTAGACAGCCTGCTCCTTTCCATGTTCATTGTCTTGTGCGAGCATACTACCAATTGATTCTTCTGCGGCCGATAAATAAAGCTTTAACGGCCACTTCTTTCTTGGAGGCATTACAACCGGGGGGTTTGCCAAATACTCTTTTATTTTGTCAAAGGCCTTCTGATGGGATTCGTCCCAATGAAATTTCTCATGTGACTTTAATTTCACTAAAGTCGAAAAGACATGCACTCGGCCAGCATGGTTAAAAATAAATCTTCTAAGAAAACCTACCTGGCCAAGGAACCTTTGTACTTGTTTTTTGTTAGCTGGGGCCCTAGCATTTATAATAGCTTTGACCTTGTTCTGATCAACTTCAATACCTCGTTTATGTACCAAGAACCCCAAGAAATTCCCGGCTGAAACTCCAAATGCACACTTCAATGGGTTCATTTTCAATTTGTGAATCCTCATCCTTTCAAAGGCCCTTTTCAAGTGTTCCAAATGCTGTCTCTTGGCCGATGATTTCACAACCACATCATCTATATAAATTTCCATGAATCGGCCAATCATATCATGAAAGATAGAATTCATTGCCCTTTGATAAGTAGCCCCAGCATTTTTTAGGCCAAATGGCATCACAATCCACTCAAAAGTACCAATTGACCCAGGACATCTAAAAGCCGTTTTATGAACATCCTCCTCGGCTAAATAGATTTGATTATAACCTGAATGGCCGTCCATAAAAGACAATATTTCATGCTTAGCGGCCGAATCAATAAGTTGATCGGCCACAGGCATTGGATATTCATCTTTTGGAGTGGCATTATTTAAATTGCGAAAATCCACACAAACTCTAAGTTTGCCATTCTTCTTCATTACAGGAACAACATTAGACAACCATTCAACATACCTAACTGTTCGAATAAATCCTGCCTTAAGAAGTCTCTCAATTTCTTCTTTAATT